AGCATTTGAGAAGAAGGCACACTTTTATGGGAGAAAGTATCTAACTGGCTGAAAATAATTTTAAATATAAGGTAATTTTATATGTAAGGTAGCAGGTGATTCATGCTCATGTCCAAATATTGTGTTAATTCCAGTCATTGTGATGAGATTTGCCTTTTTCTATTTATATATTCTATCTACATCTTTCTTGCTAATTATGTTACCAAAGAGAGCATGATTGTACATATTGTATGTATAGAACAGTAAATTAATGGAAATTTTGATATACAGTATTCAACTGAGCACCAAAATAATGAATCTGATACTTCAGAAAGTAAAAGAGTTTGGTTCATTATTCAGTCCTTGATTTGGTCTTCAGTTTGTACTATAATATTTTGTTTTGGAAAATATTCTGTGAAATGTTTCCTTTAGAACTTCACAGTCAGGCAGAATGGATCATAAGTTCAGGAAGCCTCAAGCCCAAGGTGCTCTGAACATATGGTATTGTTATTATATCTGTTTAGTTTAATTTTTTTTTTTTTTTTTTTTTTTTTTTATAAAAAAGATCATCTTAGGTTAAAGCAAATGCATTCTCACTGAGTATATGATGTACTTTCCTGTTTTTGATATACAGTGGACCCTCGGTTATCGGCCATAATCCATTCCAGAAGGTCGGCCTAAAACTGGAATGGCCAGAAACTTAAATATTTCCCATAAGAATTAACGTAAATACGGTGGTCCCTCGTTTTTCGTAATTAATCCGCTCCTGGAAGTGTGACTATTATCGAAACTGACGATTTTCGAATCCATTTTCCCCATAAGAAATAATGTAAATCCAATTAATTCGTTCCAGACACCCAGAAGTATCAACAACAATTTTTTTTTTACCTTGAAGATAGATTTACATGCACAAAAGAATGAACATTCAACATGACAGTTACCTTTATTGAAGGCTGTTGTTGATGAATGGAAGACAGGGAGGAGGAGGGTGGGAAGAGAGGTTATTGTTTGGAAGGGAAATCCTCCTCCATAAGGACTCTAGGTCACTTCAGGGGTCACTTCCCTAGCTTAAATATAGATTTACATGCAGAAAAGAATACCAAATAAATGTAAAGCACTAATAAAATGTTAATGAACATTGATGAGTGGAATGGTCTGCCTAGTAGGGTGATCGAAGCTAAGACATGGGTAGTTTCAGATTTAGGTTGGATAAATACATGAGTGAGAGGGGTTGGTTTGAATCGGGCTTGCACATGAGTAAATAGGTTTATCAGAGCTTATTGCTTGGGTAACAGTTATGCTGTTAGTGTGTTGGATTTGTGAAGGACCTGCCTAGTATGGGCCAACAGGCCTATTGCAGTGTTCATCCTTTCTTATGTTCTAAAAGCTATGACTTGGGTAGTTTCAAATTTAGCTTGGATAAATACATAAGTGAGAGGGGTTGGATTTGAGTCGGACTTACACCTGAGCTTATTGCTTGGGTAGCATTTGTTCTTTTAGTAGGTTGGATTTGTGAAGGACCTGCCTAGTATGGGCCAACAGACCTATTGCAGTGTCCCTCTCTTATATTCTAAAAGCTATGGCTTGGGTAGTTTCAAATTTAGGTTAGATAAATACATGAGTGAGAGGAGTTGGATTTGAGTCAGACTTGCACCTGAGCTTTTTACTTGGGTAGCATTTGTTCTTTTAGAAGGTTGGATTTGTGAAGGACCTCCCTAGTATGGGCAACCAGGCCTGTTGCAGTGTTCCTCCTTTCTTAAGTTCTTACGTTCTTATTTAACATCACACTTACCTTTATTGAAGACTTGGTTGTGTGAGGGAGGGATGGAGAGTTTATTGTTGGAGAATATGACACTAATATCAACTCTGCAGCTTATTTATCTATCACAATTCAACTAATATGACATAAACAATACTAATAACATAGAAACATGGAATATATTCTAGAATGAATAAAATAAGTCATTATGTATGTCACAAGGTGTTTGTGTTGTGTTGTGTTGTGTTGTTGGGTGTATAAGGGCCACTGAGAGTAAGCCGTCCATAATGGTGGTGAAGCAGCAACTGAGGTGGCGGTGTTTTCTGTAGCCCTATATAACTCCAACAACATTGGAGGAGTTAGTAGTCTCGCTGAATCACTGAAGAAGGCACTCTCTACCACCATCACAACCACTATCACCATCACTACCACCTTCTACCACTATTGCAACTACCACCACCATCACTACCACTTTCTACGACTATTACAACTGCTACCACCATCACTACCACCTTCTACCACCATCACTACCACCCTATACCACCATCAACCACTATCACAACTGCTTCCATTCTACCACCACCTTCATATTTTTCTACAAACTTTTTCTTAAATTATGTATGTTTCTCACATTCTTTACCAAACGGCTGGCACTAGAAGGTTTCTTTGGAGCCATGGTGACTTATTTAGCAGTTGCAAGCACTAAATTAAATGGAATATTATGAAATGTGTCATATGAACTCGTGGGATCATCTTCACTCACTGATAAACAATGGCACACTGGCTGGGAATGGAATGTGAGGTGGCTCAGGGCTGTGTGTATACATCCCAGACGAACGGCTATTTGCGAGTCAAACGAAGATTCACGAGCCAATGTTTTGATGAAAATAACGGTACGATTTTCAAAAATTACAACTATTGAGCCTTACGATTATCAAGGGACCACTGTACAATTAATCTGTTCCAGACACCCAAAAATATTAACAAAAGATTCATTTTTTAAAGATTAGCTATTTTTTACATACACAAAATAATGAGAAAGAAATATAAAGCAATAATTTTACTAATAAACGAACATTACATACCTTACTGAAGACTGTTGTTGGCATATGGAAGAAGGCGAGGAGGGATTACTTCCCTTCTTTGTCTTTTACTGCCACTAGGACCAGGTTGTGAGTCACTGCACCCCTGTTGCACAAAATAACTGTCCACTTCCTGCCTGCCTGCTGCACTCTCTGCCTCCCTGCTACACTCTCTCCCTGCCTGTTACACTCTCTGCATGCCTGCTACACTCCCTGCCTTCCTGCTACACTCCCTGCCTTCCTGCTACACTCCCTGCATGCCTGATACACTCCTTGCCTCTATGCCTGCCTGCCTTAAATTCTATCATGTTTTTCACTTTCTTTACCAAACGAACTTTACTAGGAACTTTCTTTGGGCCCATGGTTGCTTATTTTGCAGTTGCACTCAATAACCACAAAAAACAATGGATTATAGCGAAATGTTTGGATGAATGCGTGGAGGCTTCCTCACTCACCCAGAGACACAGCCAGACTGACTCATGAATGCGGCGGAGTGGCGGGTGGACGCGTCCAATATGGCCGATAACCAAAATAACGCCCGATAACCGGGATAGAATTTCAGCCAAAAAAGTGGGTGAAAACCGAATTGGCCGATATCCAGAACGGCCGATAACCGAGGGTCCACAGTATGTACCCACAAGTTTATGCAAAAGCTTTCGTAGTTGTTTCGACTCTTTTTGAAGAGATATTTGAAGTGATTATTGCAGATGTTTCCCATCTTGAGTGAGCTGTTATTAATGAAGCTGTTGTATTTTGTTTGCACTAAAAAACATGCATGTGTTGCAGATAATCTGCAGCAGAATAGAAGACAGTGTTAAAGGTATCCTTGCGAGGGAAAGAATGTAGCAGACCATCCAGTGGTGTAGCAGTGTGAGAATAGCTAACAATAACCTCTTTACCTCTCCAGTGACAGTATGCCCATGAACTAATGATACCAACCATCTACTACCAGCTTGATTTGTATCTCATGAAAGAAAATATATATTGGTAACTAAAGTATGGAAATTTGGGAGTAGAAAAACTTAAACTCATCAAAGGTACTATAGTATATGTTAAGTTTAGTTCTTGAAAAACAGCAAAGTCACTTAACTAGTTTTCTAATCCGATTTTGATTCAGGAAATTAGTTTAATAGATTTTGTGAAATGACAATGGAAGTTTTGTTGCAATAGGCCAGTTTATTGTATAAATGTGTACTGCATTGGATATTGCCCGCCTTGGCCGAGTGATGACACTTGTGACTCAGCTGGGAGGTCAGAGGGTCAAGCTTCCACATTTCATGCAGGTATGCCTTTAAAAAAAATGGCTGCATTGAATTACCTTTTTATATACTCAAATGCAGTAATAGATGAATTTTTACGTCTAAGAGTATTAGAGCTCTGGAGGTTGGAAGTGCACATTGAGTGATGAGGTAGAAATGTTGCAATTCAGAGCATTATTTGTTGTATGTTGTTTACTCACATGTGGTGAGACAGCTAGAGGAATAGTGATGGTGAACGTGATTCTGTCAGAGAACAAGTGAGGGTGAATGTAATTTCTTTGGGTCATCCTACCTTAGTTTAATTTTATTCAGTAACTAATAAACTAATATTTGCACATACACTAACAATATTTTTCTTGAAATCAAGTAAATTGTGCAGAATATTTTCTGATATTTTATGAATTTCTCAGGATATATACCAAATACAGTGGACCTCCGGTTAACGATATTTTTTCACTCCAGAAGTATGTTCAGGTGCCAGTACTGACCGAATTTGTTCTCATAAGGAATATTGTGAAGTAGATTAGTCCATTTCAGACCCCCAAACATACGCGTACAAACGCACTTACATGAATACACTTACATAATTGGTTGCATTCGGAGGTGATCGTTATGCGGGGGTCCACTGTAATTCACAGATGAGGGTTTTAAAAATGGGATTTGTATGCATTTTTGGACTCTACTTCATCCCATAACTATGTTTGCCACTGACACAGAGGTATGCTAAAAAAGATAGAAAATTTAACAGGAAAATGTGGTCACAGATTTATATTGCATATTTCCTTATGTATTACATACATTCCACACATTTGTACCATTTGTGTTTAATGTAAATATTAAAGTGTGTTATTAGGTCATTTATGCAAATTATAATATACATCATAATTGTACAAGGTTTGCATAATAAATAAATTTTCTGATTGTGTGTACTTTTTGTAATACCCTACAGATTTTCTGTCTGTATACAGACTGGGAAATTCTGAAATGTTGGTAAAAAATTTATTTACAGATTTTCTTCATTCAGCAGGGAAAAAATTTTCCGCTCATATTGAAGGGACTTGAGAAGAATGGCTGTACTGGTACCACTTACCAAATGATATAGGAAGGTATAGATATCTAAAGCATTTGATCCTTCAGTTCTGGTGAAGAGTTCTTGTTCAAATTGAAGCTACTATCTCTTGGATCAACCCTGATTACCTTTTATTCCTCAAACACTGTATAACCTCTACTGATTTATCATGTCCCTATGAACATAATTACAATAACATAGCATTTGGTTGCATGTAAACCACTATGTTAGAAAAAACATAACCAAATTATAAAATTAACACCACATTCTGTAAACAGTACTGCACATGTATTTAGAACATTTTTGTATGTGATAATATTAAGGATGCATTTGTATATCTAGTAAATATTTTGTGCATTTTGAGCTTCAGCACTTTGGGGCTGCCTCTTGACTTGTTCTTAACTGAATTTGTCTCTGATCGGTACACACTTTTTTAACTTTTAATAGAAAGCCCCATATATCAGAACATCCTGACTGCTTAGTGTGTTTGAGATCTCCTGAAAGTCTTGCTGTTAGTGTTGACATCTGTGACTTTCAACACCTAGTTTACTAAATTAACTTTGAAGCTTTCAGTTTTTCCTTGTACGTACCCTCAGTGCTTCTGCTGTCTTTTTGCTGTGTGGCTTTCTCGAGTTTAGTGCTTGCCTTGCTAATAATATTAATAAATAATTTTGCTATATGTAATCTTGATATTACACCCGTGTTACCGTGAAACACTGAATGACTCGCAAATTTGGCACCTTTCACAACTAAAATAAAAATAATTGGGTCTTCTGGTCTGATGTATGATTTGTTTTGTATACCTTTGAATTTAAAATGTGTTCCTTTAGTCTTCTCTAAACCATTTTATCAAGATCAGGTATATTCTGTTTGAACAACTTCTCTCTCTTTTTTTTTTTTTTTTTTTTTTTTTTTTTTTTTTTTTTTGCTAGACATTAATCAGATTCTCCTCCAGGGACCTTTCTTGATGTTGGTGAGGGGCTTTTAATACAAGGAATTGGACCTGATCTCCCCTTCCTTGGATTGAACTTGATTACTTCATGTTTCCCAAGTGTCATCATATGACCCTATGGGTTTATTACCTCTTCCCCCTCCCCCCATTGTGAATATAATAATTATCAGATTACATTTTTGTCCATTCAAGGGATACAGGTGCCTTGATACCAGTGAGGGGCTCTTAATCCAATGAATTGGACTTTGTCTTCCCTTCCTTGTATTGCACCTGAATACCTTCCATTTCCCAAATACTGTATGATTCCTAGGGGTCAGGTGCCTTCCATAAATATAATATCTTTTCTCAAATTTACTGGGACAGAACTGTTTTTCAGCAGCACTTTCAATACTGACAAGGTTGCCAGCCTCATGACTAATGTTTTCAAGGTACCTGACCCGTCAGGAGAGGTACTTCAATGCCACTGAGGAACGCTTGATACAAGGAATTGGACTTCTTGCTTCCTTGGATCAAACCTGAGTGCCTACCCTTTCCCAGGTGCTGTTTAACACATGGGTTCAGCACTTTCCCGTATTTATAATAATGCTGGTAAAAAAAAAAAAAAAAAAAAAAAGGGCTCTTGATTGAAAATGATAACCCTATCAAGGGGAGGTCTTTTAATACCTTTGAAGGTCTCTTGATTCCAGGACCTGGACTTGCCTCCTCCCCTTCCTTGAATAAAACCTGAATACCTCCCACTTCCCATTCACTATGTGACTTACAGGATTAGCGCTTCACCAATGAATGTAACACCACGATTATAATTTACGTTGAGTGCTAAGTCGATGTGGGTCGTCTAGCGCAAGACATGGCGAAGGTTTGATCTTCTGTCTGTACCATGAACCCTATGAGTAGTGCTGCAGTGCTGCATGACCCTTGTGGGTTTAGCACTTAGTTTTGATTATAATAATATGAGTAGTGCTTCTCCATGATTAGCTGCACTGTATGACCCTTGTAGGTTTAATGATTCTTTTTGATTATAATAATAATTCTCCATGATTATATTCCCTATGAATGTGATAAAAATCCCCTTGTTGGACTCATTGGTGAGAAGTGGTACAGTGAAGAAGAGGAAATTTGAATTATGAGTGACCATATATATGCCATACCAGGGACCACCCCATCCATTTTTCCATGATATGAAATTGTTATTTAATGGAGTTTACAGCCTATCAACTATGCTGGGGCCATTAAGGTTTTCACCAACGGACAAGAATACTTTAATCTCAAGAATGGAGATTACAGTAAACTCTAGTGTATACACTCGGCCCATGCAATAGAATCATGACCCTTGTAGGTTTAGCACTTCTTTATGCGCTGTATAGCCCTTGTGGCTTAGCGCTTCTTTTTGATTATAATAATAATTAGCACTTCTTTTGATCATAGTAATAACAATCTTCAAAATCAAACTTGGAAACTTTTATTGGAGCTTCTGCTGTATAATCCTCCGGGTTTAGCGCTTCCCCCTTGATTATAATATAATAATAATATTGGAGCTTCTCCCAGGGGAAGGTGGAGCTTTCTCTACAGGACTCCACTATCCACTGCTGCACTGCACTGCATGACCTAATAATAATCCCTCTCCCTCTTGCTACCCAATACCCCTGCACCCTTCCCTGCCCTGCTGTGCTCTATGACCCTTCTAGGTGTAGAGCTTCTTTTTTATTATAATAATCTACAGGAGACTCTTGTCTGCAATTAGGTACTGGAGTAGCACACTGTGTGATCATCAAACCCTTCAAGGCTCTTGATCCAAGAAATTGAAGTTGACCTACCCTTCTTAAATTGAATCTGATCACCTCCCATTTGCCCCCCTGGCACTCCATCATCTATACCTGGACAGAGTAATTTATATAGGAGAAGGGGTTACTAGCTCATTGTTCCTAGCATTTTAGTAGCCTTTTACAACACGCATGACTTACTAAGGAAAGATTCTTTTCCACTTTCCCATGGAGATGAAATGAAAATGAAGAAGAAATAAAACTATTAAGAAAATAGAAGAAAACTCAGATGAGTGTGTATACATATACATGTACATGCATGTGTAGTGACCTAAGTGTAAGTAGAAATAGCAAGATGTTATCTCTGGAACAATGTCATTGATGATCAGACCAATGAATGGATGCTAGTCAGAACTGAAGAGATGAATCTGAAGATGAAGAAGGTTCAGGAGATTGCTGTGAAAATCAGCAACTCTTTTTCTTTGTTATCAAATGAATGCGAATCAACCACCCATGATCTCCCAACAAAGACAATTGTTAATGATGCAGTGAAGCCAGCCAGTGAAGACATCCCTGCAAAGACCATCTATACAAAGACTGGCTAGCGCTCTTTGATTATAATAATAATAATCTACAAAGACCACTGAGAATGCCAATCGAGCTAAGAACATTGTTTTAGTTGGGGACAATCAGATTAAGTTTATGGATAGGGCATTTTGTCTTAGGGATAGGAAGAGGAGGCAGAGGGTATGTTTTCCTATGCCTGGGATAAAGGATATTGTTAGCCATCTGGACAACATCATGAGAAGTAATGGGAGCAATCCTATTATGTCTCAGTGCTGGAGGTAACAATGTTGGCAGACATAGGAGTGAGGACCTGATTAGCAGGTATAGGTCAGCAATAGACATAATTAGGAAGAAGGGAGGGAACCCTGTGATATGTGGTATTTTGCCTAAGAGAGGAGTTGGAAATGAATGGTTGTCCAGGGCAATTGGTGTCAATTGCTGGCTGGACAAACACTAAGCAAAATTCAGTAACATTCATTGACAACTGGGATCTCTTCTACGGCAGAAATTACATTTATGTCACGAGTGGGGTTCACTTATCTAGGTCTGGGGTGGGGGCACTGGCCATTTCAGTAGAGGGAACTGTTAGGGCTCTAAACTAGAAACAGTTAGTGGTATGGGTTTTTTGGGGGAAACAGAGAAATCCCAGTGTAGTAATATTGTGAGTTTTAGGGGAACTAATAATAGGCAGAATGAGGTGGATATTGGAAAGCCAGTGGCACTAGGTGACAGGGACAGTAATTGGTATAGTGGAAAAACAGAAATGAGCAGGAAGGGTAAAGAGAAAGGAGGGTCTTTAAACTTATATTATGCTAATAATCGTAATGCTAGGAATAAGATGGACGAGTTGAGATTAGTTTCAAGTGCAGGTAACATTGATGTATTTGCCAAAATGAGACGTGGTTTAATTAAAAAAAAATCGGGACATGCCTGCTGAATGTCACATTCAGGATTTTAAACTGTTCCAAGTAGACAGAAATATCGGGAAGGGGGTGAGGTGGCATTGTTTGTCCGAGACAGCTTGAATTGTTGCATTGAAATGGGTATAAAGTCTGCCTTTTTGTTATTTATATACAGAGTCTGGATAGAATTTTCAGAGGAACATGAAAAATTTATTTTCGGCATGATATACCGTCCCCCAACCTTAGATAGGGACTCTTTAAGGAAATTGTTAAGGCCACAAAGCACGATAACGTAGTAATTCTAGGGGACTTTAACTTTAGTTAGATTGATTGGAAGTTCTTGACTGGGAATTTAGAGTCTAACGACTTCTTAGAGGCAGTTCAGGATTGCTTTTTGAAGCAGTTTGTGACAGAACCTACAAGGGTAAATAACCTACTTGATTTGGTTCTGGCAAACAAGGAAATTCTTGTTAATAATTTAGAAATTACAGAGGAATTTGGCACAAGCCGAATATGATAGTAGGTATAACTCAGTAACTGTCCCAAATTTTTGCTTAGCAGATTACAATGGGCTTAGAGAACACTTATCATCTGTGGACTGGGGTAACGAAGAGAGCTATCAATATGACAGCTTTCTAAACACTATAGTACATGCTGAACACAAAGAACAT